GCAGCAGCAGATTGTCCTGCCAACTGCAGGGATTTCAGAGGAACACCCGGTACGTGTGGAGGGCACGGAGGAGCACAGGGAATGTGCTGAGGAGCTGCAGGAGCACATTCTGGGACATTCCACACAGTTCCACTGTGACACCAACACCCAGAACACACAGCCTGGGCTGACCCCACAGCAGGGCAGGGGGGATTCTGCCCCTCTGCACCCCCCCAGGTGAGACCCCCCTGCAGAGCTGCCCCAGCCCTGGGAACAGCAGCAGGAGGACGTGGAGCTGCTGCAGAGAGTCCAGAGGAGGCCCCGGAGCTGCTCCCAGGGCTGGAGCCCCTCTGCTCTGGAGCCAGGCTGGGACAGCTGGGGGGGTTCCCCTGGAGAAGAGAAGGATCCAGGGAGACCTGAGAGCCCCTGGCAGGGCCTAAAGGGGCTCCAGGAGAGCTGGAGAGGGACTGGGGACAAGGGATGGAGGGACAGCACACAGGGAATGGCTTCCCACTGCCAGAGAGCTGGGATAGATGGGATATTGGGAAGGAATTCCTGGCTGTGAGGGTGGGCAGGCCCTGGCACAGGTTGGGCAGAGAAGCTGTGGCTGCCCCTGGATCCCTGGAAGTGTCCAAGGCTGGGTTGGATGGGGCTTGGAGCAACCTGGGACAGTGGAAGGTGTCCCTGCCTGTGGCAGGGGGTGGGAATGGGTGATCCTTAAGATCCCTTCCAACCCAAACCTTTCCATGATTCTCTGATTGTAAGGACCCATTTCCATGACTGGGGGGGTTTGTGGCTGACATGAGGTGTCTCTGCACTTTTCCTGTTAACCAAAGGGGAAGGAATGCTGTCATTTTTGGAGACCTCCCAATTAAAAGTCCAACTGACCAGGACAGAACTCAAAGCACACAGAGGTGACCACCACCAACAACATAAATGGATGCTCAGGGTGTTCCCCAAACCATTCCTGCCCTGTATTTCTACATCCAAGCCCTGAAGATCCCCCAGTCCCTGCTGTTTGCTCTGTAGTTGTACTCAGGGGAACACGGTCTGGTCCCTCCAGAGGAAACACCACCTGGCAAAGGGGATCTACTCCCCTCCAGGGTTACCTGGGCTGCTGGAACTCCTCCCCTGAGGAGGGGCTTGGGAGCTCTCTCTCACTATCTGTTCTATCCTGCTCAC